GTTGTTGTTGTTGTTGTTGTTGATGTTGTGGTTGTAGTTGTTGTTGTTGTTGATGAAGCCCCTTTGCAGGCAGGGATGCCAGGGATCATCCTTTCGATGCGTCGTCCGCTCCACTCGTGAATGGCGCTTGGTTGCCTGATGCTGGCAGCTTTCTGGTCATTGATAGCTGCCTTGGAGCTGGACTTCCATTGGAAGCTGTGCTGGCCGCAGAGTCACATCGACGCAGATTCGTGTGCGCCTCTCCCCTTTTTGATCCCACAGAGGTGGCCGATTTGAACGTTACCATGTTTTTCATTTTGCTCCTGGTAGGGGTGAGGGTTGGGTGAGCGCCATGGCTCACCCTGGAGTGGAAGATTCCTTTGCCAAACCTGGCCTCCCTGGACTTTCCACGAACCATCATGGCTCCAAGCCGATTAGTTGGGAGACATTTAAAGGTATGCACCCCCGTGATTAGCGTAGCTTCAAAAGAGCAAAGAGGCGAGCTACACGTGGTGGCTTTGCTTGGTACAAGGGCAAGCTTTTCGATAGGCAGCAGCTAGGTGGTAGTTCGCCTACCCCTGAGCCAACACCTCATAAACTACCTTCAACACCCTCCCGTACCGCTCCACGGGACTCGAGGAAGCGGCTTCATGTTCTTGCGAGGAACGGCACTGGCCTGGCTTGTTGGAAGCTGGACGAGCTACGAGGATGGCTCCAAGCTCAACTCTTCCAGGCGGTTGTCATCCTGGAAACACGCTGGCAATTTGATCGGGAGTGGGTTGAAGCAGGATGGTACCATGTGGCTTGCAGTGGAACTCCATTTCGTATTTCGTCCGTGTGGGGTTCTCATCATGGCGCGCACCACATTGTGTCCTCCCACAAACATCAGCTGGCAATCCCTGATCCGTGGTAGACTTTTACACCTCCGGATCTATCGATAGGCCTCTCGATATTGTTGGATGCTATCAGCACACCTATGTTAACAAAGTGTCACGTAAACAACTTAGACTTCAATGGATCGGATTCGTTCGCTGGACACACTTTTGCACGACGTCCCCAAACGCAATTTTTGGTTGTTCTTGGAGAATGGAATTGCGGCCTTCCACAGACCTTGCCGCACATCGGAACCGTAGATTTCGTCGGTTCTCAGGGTCGACTCACAGGGCCGCGATGAAGATTGGAAGCCGCACCTGGATCTTTTTCAGACTCATGATCTTTGCGCCATCAACACGTGGAGAAGTGACACAGGACCAACCTGTTGCACTGCCAAGGATGACATGTCCAGGATTGATTTCATGTCGCGCAACACGCCAGGAAGCGGCTCGATCCAACTCCGTCCTTTTGACTGAGGCCAGATGGCCAAACATTCATGACACGCAGCACACTCAAGACATGCTTGCGCGGAACTTTCAATCACACTTTGCCTCCCAAAAGGTTGTTGTTCCCATGTGGCGCCATACTCATCGACTCATCGACTGATGTCTATGAAACGGAACCTCCTTGCTCGCATTCGTAAGGTAACTACTCCGACCTTGGGTAACTGTTTTCATGTCTGGAAGCTGGTGGTTGCTCATCACCAGTGTCACGTTCGACAGAAACGCTTCTCTCGGCAGGCTTCGACTGAGAGATTCGATCGAATGGTTGAAGAGGCCCACCAGCTGCTTCACGACATGATCTCTTCAGCCTCCACACCATTGTACGTAAGCCTTCACCCAAAGAGATTCTTCCAAGCATTCACTGTTGAGCCTGTTGAGGCTTTTGCACACATCTTCAGCAGTTCGTTCGAACCTCATGGGATGGACCTGATCTTCACTGTTTTTGTTACCAAAACCTGGCAAACGACCTGATACTGCAGCTAATCTCAGGCCTCTCGCTCTTCAAGATCGTATGGGAACAACCATCCTTGGTCTTATCACCACCATCGCCAGGCACAGTATCCTTCCAGTGTACATTTGAAGCCATAAGTCGAGCGGTCACACACTGCAGGGCTGTTCGTGAGACCCTGACTCGATTTCCTTGGCACATGAGGTTAGGGCACACAACACCCAGACTCCTGATGTTTATGGGGGATTTACTATTGGTATAGACCTCAAAAGAGCTTTCGACCGTGTTCCGCGCCCGGATCTCTTTTGTGATCTTCATGAACTTGGAGTTGATGAAGCTTGCACTCAACTCCTTCAGGAATGGCATGTGGGCACACGATATTGGATTGAACACAAGGGCCAGCACAACCATGTTGAGGGCGAGCTAGGAGTCAGACAAGGCTGCAGAGATGCCCCTTGAGCAGACTGGCGCAGCTGACCAATCCGGCTTGGGTACTTTGCGTTCTCACATTGTACGCTGATGATTTTTTGTTGAAATGTGAAGGACAAAGCGAACAAGACCTTTGGGATCATCTACAATTTGTGGGTGTTCTTTTTGACCTACTTGATCACGCTGGTCTGGCCATGAATTTGTCCAAGACACTTGGACTCTTCCAAAACAATGGGAGGGGATTTCGGAAACTTCAATCCAGAGTTCTTGTAAATCATGACCAACATTGGTTTTTGCTGGTTCCACGCTGGGAGGTAGAGCATCAAAAGTGAAGTGGGTCGCTGACATCAAAAACCTGGGCGTCAATGTCCTATTCCAACTTTGAAAAGCTCACCTTGGAGCATCGGCTGGCGGCTGGCAGACAGGCTAATCGATGCCTGCATCGCTGGTTGTATGGAAAAAAGGTCTGGAGAAATCACAAGAGCGCAGACTCTGGGAAAGCGTGGTGAGGACAACTTTGCCCTATGGCATCTGGGCCACAGGAACCACCACACCTGGGCTCAAGCAGCTGATCACACAGATGGTGACTATGCAAAGGATGATTTACATGAACCGCTCACACCGCACCAGAGAATCGCAAGCTCTTCTTTCACAGCAAGCAGACAGCTGAACCACCACACCTTTTTCTTCACCGCTGCTGTTTACGCCTACTGCGCGCGCATACCACCAAGCTTGAGTTGCTGCCTCAGGATGACATCCTTCAGGGATTGAATTTGCCTGGTACTCACACCTTGTTGGCTCACATTGAGCAATACATTGTTGGAGGCCCTGACACGACCGCAGCTATCACTCCTTTCGAGCGCCGCACTTGTTGGATGATATTTTTCGTGTTCACGCAGACCTTGCACGTGAGGCTTTTGAACATGGATTTAAAGATGGACGCATTCAGGCTTTCCTGGCCATCCGTGACGCCACGGAAGGCGCCCCTGTTTGTAGGCATTGCCAACACTCATTTCCTACTTGGAATGCACTTCGTAATCACATTGAATATGCTGCATGCCCTTGCTTCGCCTTGCTGCAGGTGATGCCCCTTTCCTTCGTGGAGACGAGAGCCTGCCTTGTTCCTCAGACACGTGTCAATGATCCGGATGAGCTACATTTGGATCCACCTCATGGGGGCTATATATCTCAGATGTCATTGAATTTTGTGTGGCTAACAATTGCTGCGGTTTCAGGACACGACCCATCACCTGGCGTTAGAGCGCTCGAAGTTGGCTACGGTGTCCACGGGAATGTATCAACACTGGAGTAATTCGATGCGCTCGCCGTGCAGCTTTTGCCACACTGCCTTCACAGATGCTCATCATTGCAAGGTACTCCTGCAGATGACGGTCCTTCGAGCCGAATCTCTCGCTGAATCAGGCCCAGGTGATCATGGTGGTAGAGTTGAAGGGTTGCTCAACACCAACACCCACATGGACAGGGGTTCTCCCAATGAGGATTGCATGAAGCTCCGCTGCCACAGACTTGCATCATTTGCGCTGGCAACTTCTCCTCCATGGATCTCTTGCTGGATCACATGAGGACGCATGATTCCTACCACTCCGTTCGGGATGCTGAAATGCGCCAACCCACTTGCTCTCATGGCAAGAGTAGCTTCAGAGAGACATGGGAGCCGCAGCCACACATCTGTCGCAAGTCGTGTCCGGTGTTTGACCCCACTCTCCAGCCGACAGGTTCTCCTTGTCATGACCCAAAACTACAAGATGCTCTTCGTGCAGGACGGGTCATTGAGATGTTGCATAATCTGCAACATCCTGAAGATCGACTTCGATTCACTCTCTCTTGTTGCACATGTGGATTGAGTCACAGCCGTGTTGCAGACATCACCCGACATTTGCAAACTCAACGTGGCCCCTTCTTTCGAGCAGCTGATGAATATGTCGTGTTGATTGAGGAGCAGCAACAAAATTGTGTATGCAATCCTCAGAGACCCTCTCAACCTCGTTCTCACCGATGTGTGGCATGGAGGCAGATAGCGATGATTGAGCACTTCCTCAACCCGGACCATCGTTTCTTCTTCCCTGACTTGGCTGCCTCGGAGGATGAAGTGGTTCGCTGCTCTCCCGCATTACCAGTGCCTTGGCTTCACAGTCCAGTGGGACTCATGCGGCTACTGCTGCCCAGGGTGTGCCGTGGCCGCTGAGCAGCTGACCTGCTGCTGGCTGCAGCTCCTTGGCAGCTGAACTGAGGCCCCGGTTCCTTGAAAGATTGACCTGCGCCCTCTTTCATGCATGGGCTGCGGCCCATAGGTTTTTGAGATGATAGATTTCTTGGCATGATATGCTAAATTTTGGATTGATGCTCCTCACCTCACAATTTCAATTTCAATTTGATTGAATGGCCGACTGTCGAGTTTTTGGGCCTTGCCTGTTTGACGTCGCTTGATGCACTGGAGACAAACTCCTTCCCTGCTGAAGCGGATTTCAGCTGCCCTGGCCTTAACGGCCTCCAGTGTAAAGCTACCAAAACGTACTCCAATGGAGTCCGCTGACCACAGAGTCAGTGCACGGCTGCGCAACCTCCCCTGGATGCGTGAGAAGAAGAAGAAGGGCGGATTCACTGGTGGTGGCATGATGCACCTTTTCCGAAGCATCCCATGCCGCACAATATTCGGCAAAAAGACCCTATAAAAATATATGGCACCCTCCAATATATCAGGTAAGTTTCCGTACAAGTCGTAGCATTGTTGACATTCCATAAAGGCTCCATAGCGACTACTTCCCGTTGCCGTCACCGTGCACCATCGTGTGTCTCTGTAGTGCGAGGCAACTCGACGGCGGCGGTGGAAGCCAATATCGTTGTTGTACCTGGCGATGGAAGCCAGGCACAGGTGCACTGGCGTGTCTGCTTTTTTGGATGCTGGCCCATGCAAGTAGGTACCACCAATAACACTGACTCCCAAGATCCACCAAGTAAGTAAGTATGCCACTCAGTGAGCCTGAACAAATTGCCGAGCTACATTTCGTTGTATGCATAGTAGGCACCAGCACCCATCACTGCGCCAGCCGCAACACCACCCGCTGCATACATAGCGACATTCGTCTTGCTGCCAGAAGAGAAAGCATTGGAACCCGAATATCCGTAGTCTGGGTTCGGGGCCGGTTGCAGGCCAGAAATTCTGTCGTCTTAAAAAGTCGAATTGGGAAATGGTTGAACGATGTCGAAGCAACCTGCTTCATCAAGCATCAGTCATGTGGGTTCTGTGGGTTGATGGGCAAAGAGAGTGATTTCAAGACCAGGAACACAACCGTGACACCATGCACTGTGTAAAGCAAACAGTGCATGCACCCTGTGTGTAAAACTTGCTTATTGAGCAACTATTGCATGGATTCAACATGATTCAACATTTGGACCATGAAAAAAGCTGGAACATCCATTCATCAACGCCCAGCAGAAACCTGGAGAAAAGCACCAGACCTGACACAACCAGTCACCGATGTGGCTGCTATGGCTTCTTTGTCCAAAGGAGCTTGTCTTTGATGGCATCTTGTCGCCGAAATTGCTCATCACCCTCAGCAATTGCTCGTCGTCAGCCACAGAACTAACACACTCCATCTCACCCACTACAACAATCCCGGACGCACATGTTGCATCATGTTGCGTTGTTTTTGTTTCTCTCGAGGTCTTTGTGAGACCAACAGTCAGCATATTAAGAAATTACACCGGCATAGACCCCAGATAGCAACTAACTGAAAAGACAGAAGCACCTGATGCAAAGAATCATGTATATAATATAATTCACAACAACCAGAGAAGTAGGGAGACCAGTAAGATCAGTAAGTAAGGATACAAGCCAGCAGCGGCAGACGAAATGCTGCTCACAAAGGCCGGGGTCCACTCATGTAGGGAGACCGGTTAGGCAGCGGCGAGGCCAAAACGTCGCCACCCGGTCATTGAGAAGGAAGAAGGGGCCTATAGTTTTCAGCGGAAAAAGGGGCCGATCACCCTAGAGCTGTGGCGCCGCTGTGGGCCTCTTTCTCGAGCGGCCCTCAACCCTCCCGGCACTTCACAAGAAAGCAAGGCTTTCTAGGCGCCCATGGTTAACAGACATCAACAAAGCAAGTGACACTCAAAAAGAAGAAGAATCTCGCGATGAGCGATCCGGCTATTTTTCCGTCATCTGATCATGTCAGGCAGCTTGGGCGGTCTCTGATCACCCCTTTTCTGCCTCAAAAACTTTGCATCCCACCTGCCATATCCTGCCACATCCATGGCCTCCTTTTCTCCAAATCCTTGAAATCCAGTCCCTTCACCCTGCTCCTCACACACAAACCCACCCGGAACCCGCGCACCGCACTGTCACCCGGCTTCCGCCTTTAACACCGGAAGAACCGGCGCTGTCCGTCCCCCTGCGTTCCGAGGCACGACGGTCGGTCGGAGTAGCCGTAGGCGGTCGCCGGAGCGGTGCGGCGGCGGCCCACGGTGCTGGAGGTGCTGCCCGTTGGCTCCCGGCGCCTGGAGGTGGTGTACCTGGCGGAGTGGCGGTGGTGTACCAGAAAGGCGCCACCGGAGAGTCCAGTTGTCCCTGGGAAAAGAAGCTTCTTACTATAGTACTATATATATAGTAGCCCAAACACCTGTTGGTTTACAAGGTCGTTGATCATCCTCTCACGAAAAGAACAAATCTCCACAGCATCTGCGTCAATGATCCTAAGATGTCAAAATCACATCAAATCACTGAAATGTCCGTTCCCTTCGGGAACCACCCCAGTCGGTCGCTTCCCGGTCGCTGGACGCCCAGGTCGCGTGTTCCCGTCGATGCTGGACGTGCGTCGCCGCGTGGACACCGGCGCCGGCAGCGGCGCCGGCGGCGAGCGGCGCCGGGCGGTGCGGCGCCGGGGCGACGGCACGGTGGCGCGGCGGCGCGTGGAGGTGGTGGGCGCCGAGTAGGAGCGGCGGCGAGCGGGGGTGGAGGTGGCCACCGGGGAGCGCCTCGTTTCCAGTGACCGGTCGAGCGGTTTTAGAAAGGTTTTGGAAGGTGTTGTGGTTTTCTTTAAGGTTTTACGGGTGGTTTTGATCCGGTTTCGTGAAGAGGTGCTGCATTCCTGGGCTGAAAAATGACATCACATCCTAGAAATACTGCCAATGAAAAAACAAAGCAATTGATCAGGAAACATCTCATTCATGAAGCATGTTACGGTAACTTACGTATACCGTATGCCAGCCAACCAGGAACTACCAAGTTTGGCACTCTAAAATAAAAAAGATGCGTCATGTGGTGTATAAACATTCCAACAACTCCGCATGCGAAAAAAAAAAAAAAAAGTCTTTGCTTCCAATCTCTTGCAAACACTCCCTTTGTCACAGCTAAGAGGGGCCCCTTGATGTCCCTGGCCTCCTGCTGGTGCTGCTGCTGCTGTAACTGCTGTAGCTGCTGTAGGAGCTCCTTCGCCGCGACGAATAGGACGAGGACGAGGACGAGCTCCACGATCCACTGCGCCTTCGCCCCGACAGGCGACCTCGGGTGACGGAACGGCCGGGCCCGGCCCGACCAACGAATCGCAGGCCGCCAATGATTAGCTGGACGTCAAGAAAAGCAATTATTGTTCCTAGTAGCTTCTTGTTACTACTAGTAAGGCACTTGTTTCTA